TCAGACATTAACTGCAACAGTCGTAGTAAGTGATAATGTGTTTTTATAATAAATTAACTGTTAAGCGTTTTATATTTTTTAACTGACCGAAATGGTCAAAGTTTTAGGCCCGGTCGTCTTTTGGGAGCGGGTTTGTCCAAATTGCGATCATAAAACATCTCACGAAAAGAAAAAGCGAGTTTTTAATAAAATTTGACCCTGACGAATGTTTTGTTAATGAAAAACTTAATGAATGTCTAAAATTTTCAGTTGCCAAGAGAACTGAAATCACTTTTTTGCGCAAAAACTATAACCGGTTCAAAATGTTATAAAGAGGACAAAAATATCAAAAGAGTATTTGAACTGTGAAATGTAAATGGGATTTGTTCGCAGGTTCGCAGTGTTTCTGACTGAATAGCGAAAATTTTTGTGACACCAAATTGATATAGATGTTGAAAAACTAATAAGTCTTTGTGGGATATCAGCGAAAAATGATGGAATTCTCCAAATTATTTTCGTTCATAGCAACGTTATCAGCAAGCCAATAGTTTTATTCAACAGGGGATCGGCGATCTCTCAACTAATCTCTGGTCAAAGCGGGATCAGTAAAATACAAGAACCTGGTGGGTTTTCCGGCCTTTAGCCTAGAATGCCTAATTCTTCTGACTAAAAATACGCATTAAACCAGGCGACTTCAACGCCATATACTTGGGTCCAAGCGCGGGTGATGATCAGAAAGTGCCCTTAATTGTTTGGCCTCATGGTGGGCCGCATTCGGCTTTTGCCAACTACTTCATCTTGGAAGCAGCTCTGTTCCTCTCTTTGGGTCTGTTCTGTTAAACCAGCCCCGAATTCTATAAAACACTCCCTTTGGCCTTCAGGTTACGCAATAGTTCTGGTCAATTATAGAGGCTCTATTGGATCTGGCAACGATTCAGTTGAGTTTCTTTTGGGGAAAATCGGCACCACTGATGTGCGGGATTGCATCCAGTCTGTGGAGGTTGCCCTGAAGGAGTATCCATGGCTCAATGAGAATAAGGTATCTGCAGATAGAGCAAGGCCTCATTGTTTTTTATTAAAAGAGTTTTAGCTGGCGTTGTGCGGTGGGTCTCATGGAGGATTTCTGGTGGCGCATCTAAGCGGCCAATATCCAGACAAGTTTAAATCGGTCGTAGCCAGGAACCCGGTGATTGATGTGGCCTCGATGAGTATTATATCGGACATTCCTGATTGGTAGTAGTTGACCGCACATTTCGCCGCATGGGGCTTGATTTATTGACTTTTAGGTGCTACGCGGAAGCTGGAAGTGTCTATACTCAAAAGGGCCAGGTTGACAACGACACCCTAATGAAAATGAGGACGGTGTCCCCTATTATGCACGCGCATAAAGTAAAGGCCCCTACTCTACTGCAAATAGGCTCCAAGGATTTGCGGGTGCCTCCACACCAGGCCCTCGACTACTACCATAGACTTAAGGCTAACGGAATTAAAGTCAAGTAAGTCGCTGTCCTAATTGTGTTGAACTGAACTGGGATTCCATCACTTTATAGAATGAATCTGTACGATGACAATCACCCACTAGGGAGTGTTCCTAATGAAATGGATAATGTCATCAACACAGCTCTATGGATTGAGGAACACTTTGAAAGTCAATAATCACTTCATTGTCCAAACTCCGATATTTTTATGCTTTGAGTGTCGATGCGAAAAATCCGGCAATATCTACTTGATTTATTTATAATATAACTACATCAATTGCTCAGTTCTTAACTCTACCTGCCTGTGAGGCTGATATTAACTATTCCGCAACCAAAATAAATATAGCCAAGGGGGTTAAACAATTAAAATATTAAATAATCGGCCTCAACACCGAATTAAATGCAATGGACGCGGGGCTTTGCAATGCAATTTGTGCAGACTATCTGACTGACTAATTTCATTAGAGACTAGCATGTGTAGAGAAATGGAATTTAATCTCATTAATGTGGCATGTTTCAAAGGCTACTTCTCAAAATCAATTTACTATTGCGGAAAAGTGCACTTTAAGGCCTATTCCTAATCTCAAAACTTGATCACTTGGAGCTTTGTAAATGTAAAATCTACGATTCAAAAATCGACTAAACCAGAACAATGACTGTGGCGAAATTCGCCGAATGAGTCTGCAAAGTAAATTATGCGGATTCATGTTCAAATTGTGTGAATCTCAATGCAAATATTGAACTTTGAAGGCGCTTGAAGCAAGGACAATTCCCCAATTTCGGGTAAATGTTCTCCGGTCGATTAACGTTGCCTTAAATATGCACGGAACAGTCCCCATCACTGGCAACTTTGCCCGCAGTTAGCAGCTGTTTGGTGCTCTCTCCACTTGTGAAACTATCGCCGCTGCTTTTTGCGCTGGCAGTGCTGATTGGTGTTCCGGGCAGTTTATGCGGAGTGCTGTCCAATGAGCTCAAAGCATTGCCCGAACTTTGAGATTCATAAATCGCGCTGGACATTGGCGCGGACGGCTCATCTGGCGTGTAATAGTCCGAATCCTCTCCCTTTTCTGCCAAGGCCCATTTTTTAACCAGACTGCCGGAAGTGCGACAACAACCACTTACCATATTTTGCGCTTTTGTCTTTTCTGCCCGTCGTACTGTCGATATTGTTCATTGCATCTTCTTGATCAATGTGATCAATAACATCGTCCATGTGCAAAGCTAGCGTTGCTGATCGCGTCATGTTTGGCTTGTTCCTCTGGAGCAGTGGTGAGAGTTTTTCGGCCTCGCTGTCCTCATCGAAGATCTGAAATTCTCTTTGTAACTATCAACAATCCCGCTTCAGGCTTGAGTAGCCAGGCTTACATCTTCTTTTTCCTTTTCGTTCACCACCTTGACGGAGTCTCTTTGCCGCCTACATCGAATCATTAGCTCCTTTTCATCGCGCAAAAGAGGACACTTCTGCGTTTCTTTCATGCTGTCGTCTTCAGATCTATTCGTCAGCACTGTTACGGCGGCTGCAACGTACAAGCTGGCATTCACGGTTATTGGAAACTTAAATAAACCCTTACATTTGGAAACGTATTCAGGCGTGGTGGGCTGACTGCAGCTTTTAGCGGACTGCAACTGGCGGTTTAGAACATAAACCGTTTCCGCTGAGCTTTCGTTATCGGGCGACTCAATTAAATCGGGAATTGCCGATGGGGGTTGCCGAGGCTGACAAGGCCCGTTTAAGGCCTCAATGAGCGCAACCACTTCGTATCCTGGGGGAACGTTGTCGCAATTTGCCTACAAAAACCCGATAGGGAGTTGCTAAGGACCGGTTTTCCTACTTACATCTGGTTGACTAATGGGCGCAAGGCTGGGAGTGCTGCATTTTTGCAAAGCCCTGATCTGCAACAGAGCTCTGAAAGGAGCTCGGCAGATCGGGCAATTATTCGCTTGATAACGGAGCGAGTCCGCGCAGGAGTTGCATAGACACAAATGCCTACAGGGCAGGATTAGGGTGTCCCGCACGTCGCACATACAAATTACGCACTCCGAGCCGTTGTCCTCGGTGTCTTCATCGCCGCCAGCCTGTAAAGGTAAACCGTTCAAAATCAGCCCCATTTGTTCGTTGCAATACGAGACTGCTTGCCTTTTCATTGTTCTTGTTCTCAATGCCGTAGATTTCTTGAAGAAGATAAAACAGCCCATCAACCCACAGCTTCTGCTTCAGAGCCTTTAGCAGAAAGATTCCATCCGCAATTTTTTCCACCGTTCCTATTGTTGTGTGCGATTGCCGCATGTCTGGAACGAGTACAATTGTGAGTTGCTTTCAAGCTAGATGTGTTTGATAGGGGGCCCAACCTTCAGGGCCTTCTTCAGTAACGCAGTGTATGGCTATGGGGATCAGTTCCCTATCCACGTCGTACTGAAGCTCGTCTTCTGAGAACTTGGCCGGATTGAACACATGGGTCGGCTGGCAAAACTGCTGATTCGCCCCCTTTTTATAGTGGAAGGTTTCCGAGGAAAGCTGCGGATCTCGAGGGACGTACCTGGAAGCAAATCGCTTGTAGCAAGTGGGCATTTGCATGCAAATCACCATCACTCACGTTACTCCACTTGCATTCACCTCTTCGTTGCACAAATAATGAATCGTTATCGCACAGGGCACATTGCAGTCGAAGATAAACTCTATGTTAAACGAACTGTTTGTTCCAATCTCCAAGTCTGATAGTTCGCTTTTGTCCGACGGGATTTTGTTGAATTCGCTGGACGCCCTCACAAACCTGAGCGACTCTTTCCTGATGTTCACCAAGCACTTCAGGGTTTTAGTCGGCTCGTTGGGCTGAGGTGGAGGATAAGGGAACTGAAGCAATAAGCTCGCTTAGACCACGAACAATTAAGCTGGAAATGGGGATTTACCGGTGTGGGGCGGCTTCCCAAAAAGTTCAAATCTGTATTTTCTCCAAACAGGTAGGATTCTGGCTGGGGCGTGTCAAACCGTTCACCACCCATTATAAAGTGGCTACCGAAATAGTTCCCTGAAGGAAATGTTTGAAACACTTAAGAAAATACCGGACTTCACCATGGATTAGTTGATGTCTACAGGGTGTTTCAAACACTTGTAGACATCAACTAAACTGTGTTAAGGTCGTGTACATTTCTTAAGTGTTGGAAGTTTTATCCATAGCATCTGCTGCATCATATAGTCAAGATCACAACCTTCCATCAATTACCTTGGAACCATTTAAGATTACCTGCTCTAGGTGGGTACTTGTAGGCATGGTTGGGCACGACGTCCACCTCTTCCACACCGTTCCGTTGCCTGGTTGAAAGTAAGGCACCCATTTCGGGAACACACACTGCTGATTGAGGATTTTAGGGCATAGTTTCTGAACACCGTGAGCACGAAAAGAGCCCCAGATAAACACAAACTGTCCCAAGTAAATGTTTTGACAAGACACTGTTGTGATTGATTCTGGGGCGCGAATGCAATGAAGTTCGATCGCAATCGAATGTCAAATCCAGCTGGGCTGGGCAATTGTATCCAAAGTTTGGTTAAAGTGTGTTAGCAGTCAGGAAAAGAAGAATATTTTTTGGGGTAGTTTGAGGGAGAATTAACCTCACAAAACAATTTTGACCATGGATGAAGGCAACAGTTTTGACGAGATAGCTTTTAGAGGATTTCAGACAAAACATTAAAAGTGCTTCAACTGGAAGAAATTGAGCCTCGAAATGCGTGCATCGTGGAGAGGTGATTGGTAATTACTGAAAATTTAACAGGTTTCATGATTAACAACCCGCTCTTATACAATTGAATGGGCGTCTTCTGAGGAAGTTATTGGAGCTCGGTCTATTGTGGTTTTCTCAGTCAATTACCCATCTTTTGAGAAACATATTTCCTTCAGGGTTTAACTAATTTGCCGTTCTTGACACAAGAACAAGCAACAATTCAGATTTCTTAATCTGCCTGAGTGAGCTTATGCGAATATTGCACACCCCCATGTTTCTCGATCAGTTTTGTTCCTTATCTCAGCTCCTATCTCTTTACTGCAAGTGTAGGTATGTTTCAAGAATACTGATATATTTCCGGGGGGCAAAACCTCCTTTACACGGGCAGATTTAAGGCCCTACTTCAACATTAGGTACTTGTTACATTTTAATCAGTGCATGCTGTAAAAACTAAGCGACCACGCTAGAATCTGCTAGCGATTCCGCCTCCTCTGCTATCAGAATGCGAACTAAGTTCGTCTTTGAGTTTCTCCACCGCATTGGAGCTGTAGTAAGGTTCCGGCATGAGCACCGGCTCCCTGTGGGCCGCTTTCAAGTATTCCAGCAGCTCGAGTTGAAATTTCGGCGAGTGAGCGGCTGCAATAAAAATCACTCAATACAGTAAGCACTGGTTGGAGTTTGTGCGCCTCTACCTTCCACTGCTATGGTTGCATTGTCCAGCAAGTAAAACCTGGGAAATTCGACTCCATCGGTTGCGTTCTTAGCGCCTATGATTAAATTGACGACCAATTGGCTGGCTTGAGCAACACCGTTTGCGCCAAACACCAATCGCTTTCCTGCAATCAAATTCAAATTTCCTAGCTAATAAACTACACTGAGAGCAAGAACGCTCGTTTTTACATCATTATAGAGATAACTAAATGGCCTTTATTCGAAGTTTCTCAAGAACCATTCGAGCCACAGAATTCGTTTTGGCATCGTTGGATAGAGATTTGAATGGGGAGAATTTCATTTGAGTACTTACCACATATAAATTTATTGTCGGTTAGAATCAGAGGAATGCGACTGCAGGACTTTGGCTTGTTTTTGACATCCAATACATAGCCGTGGATAGTTAACTCTCTTGAGCCGAACAAATCATACATTCCCCTTGAAAGGAACGCACTGGTAAACATCCAAACTAAAGTGAAATGCGGTAAATGCTTACGTAACAAACGAAACGTAATCATCATCCAAATCCATCACGGCAATATTCGTGGAAGTTCCTTCGTGAAACCGGGCAGTCACATTGAATTCCTCATAGGCCCTTAAAGTGGTTTCGATCATCCTCTTTGTGGTTGCAGTGTTCACTTCTGTAAAGTTAAACTCCTCGATTTCTCTACATAAACACCAAAGAAAACGTTTAAATTTGCATGCATGTTGAAAGTGTGGGCATTTGTGTGCTCTACCTGAGATTGACCAGCAGCACCGGTCCGATGGTGTCCAAACTGGGCACAAACACATCATAGTTATAAAAACTTGAACTCACTGCCTGCGACTGAACCGGATGGTTTGAAGAATCAATGTAGCTGTAGAGCTCTAAAAAAGCAAATTCCAAGCAAATCTCCAATTAAACACCGCCTTGATGCCGTCTACCTTTCTCTGGAATATTTCCAATTTTTTCCAATGTATTCGCCAACGTTTCATGCTGCAAAAGCTGTCCAGGTTCCTGGCGCCCATAGAGG